TTGCTGCGCTTTGTGAATGGTCAGGTGTCTTCTTGGACACATGACAGGTCCCAGAAGACGCCAGGCCATTCACAAAGCACAGCGCTTCTCGCGCATGCGCAGTGGGCATCCGGCTGTCACAGCCGGGTGCCCACACTAAAGGGAGGACAACTCCGCGGAAGTGGGAGCGGGTACCTGTCAAATTCAGGTACCCGCTCCCCCTTCCTCCCCAAAGGTCCGCAGTCTCTGGTCATCCCCTGTACTGTGTCCGCAGTCTCTGGTCATCTCCTGTACTGTGTCCGCAGTCTCTGGTCATCTCCTGTACTGTGTCCGCAGTCTCTGGTCATCCCCTGTACTGTATCCGCAGTCTCTGGTCATCCCCTGTACTGTGTCTGCAGTCTCTGGTCATCCCCTGTACTGTGTCTGCAGTCCATTGGTTCAGAATATTTTTTTTTTCTTGTTTTTCTCCTCTAAAACTTAGGTGCGCCTTATGGTCAGGTGCATCTTATGGAGCGAAAAATACAGTAAATCCATCTATTTAAACCTAGCACCTATCTAAGGGGGTGCTATGTATGATGCAGGTCTGCTGTTATTGATCCTGTGCCATGTGATCACTGTGACCAATCACAGAGATTGCAATAGTACACAATGATTGGCTGTGAATGAAAGCCATTGTGTACAAATGACATGTGATCACTGTGATTGGTCACATGGTACCAGGGCTGCCCCAGTGCAACGATTTGTCTTCTACTGTGCCCAGTGGATCACATTTAATCTGACTCCTACTGAATAGGTCAAAATTCATTCTGCATCATCCAGACACAATTGACAGGAGTCGATAGTTTTTCTATCAACTTTTGTCAAGCAGCCTGGTGGAAAATTCCCTCCTGAACAGGCCCTGCATCAAATTAGAAACAGGCAGTGCATTTGGTTATTTCAATCCCCACAAGTGTCACTTGTCAGGATATACAGTTGTGACCAAAATTCAACCCCCAATGCTGTAAAGGGGTTTAGGGACTATAGTGTACATTTGGAATTGTATTCAGAATCAAATTACAAGGACGTTGTAACTACCCAAATGCAACTAAAATGACATCAATTGTTTATGTAATACAGTTAAATGGTTCTTATGTGGTTTCTTCATTGCCACAATTATTCAACCCCTTAAAGACTACCACTCTGAAGAACAGAGGTTCATACAGGTGCTTTCCATCAGGTATGAAAACACCTGTGGATGTCACCGAGCAGCAATCAAGCATAATAAGCACCAATTAGGCAGCTTTAAAATGACTGTGATACTCAGCTCCTTCTAGACATTTACTGTGTGGTTACACATGGTGAAGGCAAGAGAATGGTCCAGGAAGACAAGAGAAGAGGTCTCTTCACAGGAAGGGCAATGGCTATAAGAAGATTGCAAAGATGTTAAACATACCAAGAGACACCTTAGGAAGCATCATTCGCAAATTCAAGGCAAAGGGCACTGAAACGCTACCTGGTCGTGGCAGAAAGAAGATGCTGACTTCGATGCTGTGCGCTACCTGAAGCGTAGAGTGGAGAGAAGTCCCCGTGTGAATGTGAGGAACTGAGAAAAGATTTGTCAGATGTGGGTACAGAAGTTTCAGCCCAGACAATAAGACGCACACTGCGTAATGAAGGCCTCCGTGCCAGAACTCCCAGGCGTACCCCCTTGCTGTCTCCAAAGAATAAGAAGAGTCGACTGCAGTATGCCAAAAGCCATGTGGAACAAACAACAAAAGTTGTGGGATAGTGTTCTGTGGACTGATTCCCATGGATCAACGCTATGTTTGGAGGAGGAAGGCCTATGATGAAAGAACACCTTGCCTACTGTGAAGCATTTGCTTTGGGGCTGTTTTGCTTTGCAGGTACAGGGAAGCTTCAGTACCATGAATTCTTTCAGTACCAGGAGATATTGGATGGAAACGTGATGCATCCGTCTCACACTGAGGCTTGGGAGACGTTGGACCTTTCAACAGGACAATGATCCCAAGCATACCTCCAAGTCACTAGAGCATGGTTCAGAGGAAAGGCTGGAACATTTTGGAGTGGCCATCGCAGTCACCAGACTTAAATCCGATTGAAAGAACCTCTGGTGGGACTTAAAGAAAGCAGTTGCAGTGCGCAAGCCTAAGAATGTGACTGAACTGGAGGCCTTTGCCCATGAAGAATGGGCGAAGATACCCGTAGATCGCTGCAAGTTGTGTCAAGCTATGCTTCACGTTTTAAAAGCTGTTATAACTGTAAAAGGATGCTGTACTAAGTACTAAGATTGAATGCACTTGGGGGTTGAATAAAACTGATAATGCTGTGAGCACAGAAAAAAGACATTTGTGGTTATTTCATTATAACTGTTATGTTATATTTGTCTGACCTACAAGTGCCTCTTTAATGTAAATGTAAGCAAGATGACTGAATGATCAAAAGCAATGTTTTTTAATGAGGGAACCAAATAATTTCTCTCATTCAGTTCTGTAGGCTAAATGAAAGAAATGACTTGGTTCCCCCATTCTACTGTGCATGGCCAGCTTAAGGAAAACTACAGTATTTATTAGTTTTAAGTGCTGGATTTCTGACTCTGAACAAATTTTTCATTTGTCAGTCATAAAAACGTCTGATGTTTGAACCTGCTTACAATTTTGTTTTCACTGCCATTTAGTGTCAAACTTGATCATGGCTTACTAATGTATTTAGCAGTCTGCCCAAAGTGCAGCTTTAGCAGGAATCCAAGTGGTAGCTCAGAGCACTCCCTCTAGCGGCTAGTTTACACAGCTACATTCAATAAAATAACCCAAAATACAGTATGCACTCTCTAAAAATCCCTGGTATCTGAAGATCAGATCAGTTCTTTCAGCATTCAGAAGTATTGCTGGTGCCCCCTAATCAAGCCTAGCATGTCCCTATTGTCGTCTGCTGTCTCAAACAATGTTAAAAACAGGCCCATCAGTTGCAATGATCTGCCCGTGTCTGGTTGCCCTAACTGAATTTGCTTTGGTGCTGTAAAAGATAAAACGGTTAACTTCTCTTTCTGAATGAGCCAAACACAAAATCCATTTTAACCCTAGCACTCTGTAGAAAGATTATCTCCAGCAGTGAAAGGTTTAAATACGATAGTGGCACAAAATCAATATTTATTGATCTGGGATATCTCTGCATGTAGGTACATCTTTTTCCTGTGTGTTTTTTCCGAATCTCTGTTAAAGACAAATAGATAAATGTGTACTTTTCATCGTGAATACTTTACACGCTGAAACTTACACTTGGCCAACACAAGCATAACAGATTATTGTGTTATACGTATAGCAAGAGTAGTCATGTTCAGATAGGAGCTCAATGGCACCACATTCCAAATTTAGCAATTATCAAGAGAAGAGAGAAAAAGATACACAATGGGAAAAAAAGGGAGGAGAGAAAACTCCTCACATAGAAGAAAAAATAGCAGGATTTTAAGGGTGCCATATAATAAAAGAACAACAATGACAGTTAACATTTACAATGTTTATTGTTGAGTCAATATTAAAATATCAGTTAAAAAAGAAAACATTGTTAGTTATACATAAAGTGCAGCACTAATCTTATATAAATAGATAGATATTAGGAGGAGCTGACAGAGCGTGACGTCATTGCCGCAGGAGCCACGAGGAAGCCCGGCGGCCATCTTTTAAAGGGGTCAGCGCTGCAATACTATGCAATTTTTTACTTGTGCTTTACTCTGCATACTACCCTGATTTTTAAACATGATTGTAATAAAACTACTTTTTGGAACATACTACACTATTGGCACTTGTTTTTCAGCTCCTATGTGGAGCTATTAAACCCACAGATAGTGCCTATTGTATCCAGCATCCAGAGGAGGGAGCCCTGTATCCAGGTTGAGCACTCGTCTATCCTTAAGGGGACCTCTGGACCCAGCAGATTCTCATACTAACCCGAGCTTGATGACCATTACTTAGAAGGAAGCTCACCATCCGCCCATCACAGATTCCTACTTGGTGTTTATACATTTATATGCGCATTATCCATGCGCTTTCGGTGAGTGCGCACTTTTACTATTGATTCCAGTCACAAGTTTATTGAGAAATCTGCTGCCTAGGAGATCATCAACCTGTGCCATTTTTGAACTTTACTCATTTATCGAATGAACTTATATCTATTTATTTATATAAGATTAGCGCTGCACTTTATTTATTGCTATTTTGAGGTTACTGTGGTTACCTTGAGTGTTTCAGCTGCTACCCTTAAAGGGTTCACTATATCACCATTTTTTCTGATTGTTAGTTATATGGTTGGGTTGGCTGATGGGGAGATGGGGAGGTGGTATTTGTGGTGCTGGTGCAACATTGTATGCATTCCTCCTTTGAGGGTTGGTCTCTTTGCCAAATGAGCATTCGGTTGTTGCCACCTTCCCCTTGGGATTTAAATGGTTTTGATAGAGTACCCATTTTGGGACGTGTGTTTCTTGGTTTTTCCATTGCAATACCATTAAACCAAATGTGACGTTAATACCCATGTATGCTGCTTATACAAGTATTGGTGCCTAATTTACCTTTTAAAGCTTATGTGCCCCTCCAATAACCACAAGAAGCACCATTTTGTCTAGACCTAAGGGCTTATTGTCCAACCAAGGTGTACCACAATTAAATCAGTATCATCTCGCATACCATGCGTCACTTATACATGAACTGTTTGGTGTTATATAAAATCTCCTGAAGAAGCCTGAAATAGGCAAAACATGTTGAGAAACATTACACCGAAAACATTTTTTGAGTTAGTATAACTAACAATGTTGGGACATTAAAATGTATCTTTTTTAACTGATATTTTACCACCCTTAAAATCACACTATTTTTTTTCTATGTGAGGAGTTCTATCTCCTCCCTTTTTTCTTTGTGTATCGTTTGCTCTCTTCTCTTGATAAGTGTTATAAGCAGGGGTGGACTGACAATTTGGAAACTCGGGCACTGCCCGAGGGCCCGGGGTCAGTGGGGGGCCCCATGAGATGCCACTGGTACCTTTTTCATAGGCTTTTTTGAGTTTGGGCAAGGACACAGGGGCCCCATGATCCCCTATTGCCCGGGGGCCCCATGAGTTGTCAGTCCGCCCCTGGTTATAAGTATAGTTTTTTGTTCAATGGTATTTTGTGACATTTATAACTGGGTCTCTGACCTCTGCTACACAAACCTGTGCATCAATGTTAAAAGCATTTGAGATTTTTTTTAATCTGCAAGCATTTGCAGTCAGGCATAATGGCTAAGAAGGTACATTTATTTTGTAATTAATGTAAATAATGCTGATTTTTTTTTTTTTAACCAGCAAAAGTCACAGTATTTGTTATTGCATCATCATATTTTGGTAAATGAATGCAACGCACAACATATAAAAATGTATCCTAAAACTAGACCTATTTCTTGGTGCTTCGTGATTTGCTCATTTATCAATTCTGGAAACTGCACCTTTAAAATAATTATGCTTAGGAAGTGACCTTTATCTCCTCTGTGACCATGTCTCCCACAAAGCCTTTCTTGACCAGCCAAAATGCTGATGATATTCAAACCGCAGCACTAAAAAACCATTTAAGAATCGTCCCTCTCTCTTCCTCCTGGTTGTTAATGTGAGCAGTAATGGAGCTCTCTCCTGAAGGGAGCCAAATTTACTGCCATGCAATTCATTAGAATGTTATTTTTGCTGAGTGTCTTTCATGTGGAATCCCTGGCTCTCTGAATATTTCATCCAGCTGATTTTTTTCCTTCTATTATATAGGGGTTTCCAGGCACAGTCCTGAAGAGGATTTTATAGAAATCAATACACAGCAGTAAATCAGGTCAACTTTCTAAGCATAGCACATGTGGTATTTTCATTACCATACAATATTTGCTAATTTTTATAATTTAAATTATACATTCAGTTCACTAGAAGGACTTATAATGTGACTCGTCTGAAATTATAACAGATATGATCACACTTGTACTATGATGTATTCAAAAGTCCTTTCAGAAAATGTTACATGGTGTTTGACTGGTATTAAAAGGAACATTTTAAATTCCATTTTTTACTGGTCCAACTTTAAAGGATAACTTCACTTGTCTGTTATAAAAAATAAAAGTCAACCACTATATATTCTGTAGCATCTGACTTTTAAGAAAGACATACTTGGCTGTCCATTGGATCCTGCACTGTCTTACCACCTGAAGCCTTCACCATCGGTAGGTATCCATGCCACCACCTTGAATTTGGAGATGACTGTCACTTCCCTCCCACCACACATACCTTAAATATGCTGGGTGGGGTTAACTTGTCCTGTAGCCTCCAGGGATGTGTGGTGTTATCCCAGGATGCTGCAGACAGACATAGTATCACTGTACTCACCTAGGTGACAAATAAGGAATTGGGAACAAGAATAAAGGTGTGTACAAACAAAATGTGTACTGATTACTCAACACTCCTCTGATGAACAATGTCAATAGTGCATCAACCACAATCCAAAAAAGAAATGGACTTGACAGGTTCCACTAAACTTCTGCAGCTCCTTGATAAGATCTTGGATAGATCTCAATACAGTCTTAAAAAAATGGAGACTGGGGATTAGAGTTAGTGAAACTGCATAAAAACCATTTTATTACATATGCATGAAAATCTGTTTGCTAAACATAGCACACGAACATTCTTTATTGACAGCATACAGAAGTTAGGTCAACACTGCAGGCACCAGATAGTAAGCAGCCAGGGTTGGCAAGTAGGACATGGAACAGAGTGTGAACAACCAGCACTGAGCATGGTCAAAAACTGGCGGGCAAAGCAGCGATGTCCACAACTGCAAGAAGAGAACCAGCATCAAACCCAACCAATGATGGGTGCGCAGGCCAAAAGGTAGCTGTCAGATCCGACCAGTAGTGTCGGCAAAGGGCAGGGCACTATGCATTTCTGGGGCTCTGCCCCCTTTGTCAAGCAGTTTTACTTCTGGTCCACCCACCCCCGACATCACTGGCCAGGTTTTACAGCCATGGAGACTTCTGATTCGCCTACCAGTTTGTGACTTTGTTCAGTGTTGGTTGTAGACATTTTGCAGCATGTCCTGGTTTCATTAACTCTAGTGCCCTGTTTCTGTTTTCTCACAATTCAGAATGTCAGTGTTTTCTATATAATTATAGGTAAGCATCTTGATCCAGCAGGCCTACAATTGGTGATTTGAGTGTAAGCTCTTTTTTGTGGGCTTCTACTATAGTATGGACATTGTAAATGCCATGAATACTCAGGGCCCTTTTAATATGAGAATACTAGTGTCACAAGTTAGCCTGCAGTTTCTTATTTGTGTATTCTTACCTCCTTGCTGCAGTGCTTTTCCTTATTCCCTTCACATGTGTTGTTTGTCTGTGCTCACCAATGGGCATCGCCTGCTATTCTCTGGGTTTTATTTCCTTCCCTTCCATCACTTCCTGGCCCACCTCCTAGTTTGCTTGTCTATATAAGACATGCTCAGTCTAGCCCACTTTGTCTGAGCAACTTCTTCGTTCTCTGAGCTCCTGTTTGTTGTTACTCCTGTCGAACTACACATGTACCGACCCCGGCTTCATTCACCAACTGTGTTTGTTTTCCACCTGTCCTGACTTCAGCTTGTCTATCAGATTAACGGTTGTCTCCTACCATTGTAATCTGCTCACACGAGCAGTCTCTGCATCCTCAGCTGGGCGTACCTGAGGGCCACAACCTGGTTCTAGCTTGCTGCAAGTCCATCCCTACCATCCGGGGCTCTGGTGAAGAAGCAGGCTGGGGCTTAGACTCCGCACCCTGGGGAACCCCAAGTTGACTATCTACAAGGGCTCACTACCACAGGCGCTTGACAGCATGCCCATATGCCTGTGTTCAAAAATACAAGCAAAAAAAAAGGAGAATAAAAATTACTGATTGGAGCATCTAAACCAACCCAAAAGGAAGAAGCAAGCACATAGACAAAGGGTCGACACAGAATGTTTTTCAAAATGGTTTCATCATAGTTCAGCAGTCTAGAAATGGCAGGTTAGTAAAATCTGATGTAGCAGAACTGCTTGAGTATTGCCTGATTTTACTCCACTACTATGCTGACAACCGGGTACAATTTATTTTCCTGCAGCCAGGTGCATATACTAGCTCGTTGGAGTCAAAGACCATTCTAGGGGTGTGGTTTTGTAGTTTTATTTTAGAGGAACGTGGGATAGGGTTGGAAAGTTGCAGTAGGATATTCAAACATAACTATTCACAACTTGAGGACACTAACTATTCTAAGATAGAGCCTTAGGTGAAGTCCATTGCTGGGAGCAGATGGCAAACCTCTCCTGTAATGCAGTGTCGTAGTAAAGAAGCTTGAGCAGTGGCTCTTGCAGTAAGTGGGGCAGGTGACAGAGTTCTTTGGATCACTAGCCAGTAATTCCTTTAGTTGGGCCCTTAGCAGACTAGAGGACAACAGAGGGAGGTTAACAGCACCAGGTTCCTGGGATCCTGCAATGTTTTTACTCACAGGCTCTTGTAGCACAACTGGCAGCCTCTCTAATGATACCAGATAGATCCTCAGTGGACTACCCCTCAGTAAGCTTTTTAGGAGAATCAAGGCCACACATCAGTTCTAGTTTCATGCCCTCAAGTTGTCCACCTAAGGGCCTCTTGGGAGCAGGTACCAGAGGAAGCAAGCCTGCAATCCACTTTAGTGGCTTCCAGATGACAGAAAAAGCTCAAGCCAAACACAACAGCACCAGAACATCATGAGCTGTCCTGACTCCATTAAGCAGAATGCCAACTTTAAATTTACCTACTAGCTCTCCTGTTTGGCAGAAGTTCAAACTACACTAAAATAAATATTTATATCCTAACAGATATACTAGGATGGTGATACACTAATTTGTGACTGATTGATGAATGTCCCCACGTCACAAGCTCAATATTTTTTTATTTTTCTTGGTAAGAATACTTAGAAAGTAAGAATAGTCAGATCTTCTGAAGCAGTTTAAGGTCATTATGGATCAGTTTAACACAGTGAATGACAACATAACTACTTCCTTATATTGTACAGTCACTGTAGGGTTCAGCTTAGACAAGGATTTGCACAAAAGGAACAGGACAGACAGAAACTGAACAGGACACCTATCAGATTCCTTACTAGAGTAAGCTCTATTATTGTACTGCAAAATCATTCAAATGGTCGATGCCAAAATATTCATCTCTCCTTCACCTCGCTGCCCTTCTCTCTCACTCTGCATTTCATACTTTGATGGCACAGTATGTTTCAAAGTGCAAGTAAAATCCCTCACTATGCTGTTGGCAATTCTCATTTAATAGTGGGAAGTTTACAGGTAGGTGTTTAAGCGCTGCTTTCAGAGCGATTTTGACTACATTTATTTTGCCTCAAAAATGACCTGTTTTGCTGTCAGTGAAATTTTCCTTATGCTCTCAATTTTTCTTATTTTGCTTTGGCTAAAGTGTGCACTTTTTTAATTTAGGGGGTGTGTTTTCTGAAGGTTTTATTTAGGGTAGGTTAGTTTAATTCGTTTAGTTTTTTAATCTTTGTCAACGTTTTGACCCAAGGGTTACACAACTTTTACCATTCACATATTAACTAAATCTTCAATTGGAAAATGAGTAAATCTTGAGTGAAGGTTTGGTGAAGCATTAGTGAAACTAATAAATACACCCCTTATACACCCCAAAATACACCTCATATTTGATTGCTATTTGAACTTTTTTCTATTTGTGTTTTTTTTTTCCCTGAAAGCAAGACATTAGGTTCTACTCCTATGTCAGCAGCATTATGAAGATCTTGCTCATGATTATCGGAACAAAAACTGAAAATTTCCCATGGGGAAAACAGTCATTCTAAACTTTTGGCATTTCAATGCTTTGATATCGTTTATGAGTTTATTTTCTTTTCCAGGCCTTACTTCCAGTGTTACTTTGTATGCTTAACCCCTTGACGCCGACGTCACACAAATATGCGGCCTCACGAACTGGGCTTTTTTCCGTGGGGCCGCATATTTGCATACCTGTCTTTGTGCTGGGAGTGCGTCGCACTGCGCTCTCCCAGCACAAAGACCGCAGGGTCACTGAAAGCCCCGGGTCCCA